AGGTTTTATTTTATTAAACACCAAGGTTGATGCAGCAAAGTACACTATGAAGTTAAATCCAACCTACAATCATCTTTTTAAATCTAATTTTTTTATTTGATGTTTTGATGTTTTGAGCAATTAAATTTAATGGGCATCATATTTGATAACTTTTAGTTATACGTTTTTGTTTCTTTTCTTACCTTCTCTTAGCACAAGTTCCCTACACTCCACCACCACCATATACTGAGGAAAACCCACAAGCTCAACCTTTACCAAACAAAACTGGAATGTGATTTTTCAAAACAATTACTCCAATGTAAAAACTAAACGTTTCAAAGTAACACTGAATATCAAGCAGAAAGCAAGATAATATTAAGCTGACTAACGTCATTTAAATCATGTTGGACTTTTATATAGAGGCCTTTTAATATTATGAGGAGACATTGTGCCAGTAAGGACAATTCAGAGCACAATTTCATRAAGAAAATTTGAGGAAATGGCTTCAGTTGATTTTTCACATCATCATGTCACGGATGCACCTTGGGTGCTATTGCACCTGGCACCTGTTTAGATAGCAATGACACATCCGGAATAGCCCTGAAATCTCCATTAACAAACGAACAAACGTGCTGAAAAAGATACAAGACTATAGATTACAGACATAAAGTGTTAAAGTGCTCCRCAAAATTGTGTGCTGAATTATGAATTCCAATGTTTCAACACAACAGTTGTAAATGAATAGTGCTACCAATTAAAGTCATTAAATCCGTGAATCAAAACTTGACTRTTAAAAAAATGATAGTCAAATGGACACACAAAAAAATGGAAAAAAAGAAAAACTAAGGTGTATCAATCCAATGTCTATTTCCCTTTTTTTTTCACTTCATTCAACGGGAATGCAGACGAGCTGAGTTCTTTTATTTGTTTTCAAGAACATCCCGTTTCCATGGGCAACATAATGCATATTAAATGCTATCGATTTTTTTTACTCCAGACTATTATTTTAATTAATTATGAAATTTTGTTTCACACGTGTCAGATTTAATGTCTTCATAATTTAGTTTGTACTTTTTTGTGCTTTTAGAGGGGGTGCTCTAAATCTGTGAGACATATATTATTAATCAATACTAAGTAGTATTTATGAGACATTTGGAAACAAAGGAACAGCATTATTTAGGATTATTTAGTGCTATTTTGTTTCACGAATAAGTGCGTTTGCTGTAGTGTTTGCCCTCGATCAAATTTACTCGATGTTTCCATTGCATCTCTAGAACCCAACAAAAATCGCTGCATCACGACTTGGAAGATCATTTTGGATTTTGTTCTATTCTATGAATACCATAAGTTCCTTCCCAGTTCCCACAAAGAAAGAAAGAAATTTGGWTATTTGAAGAGATGAAAGAAATTCTTTGGAGCGGAAGTACATTTTCGACTTTTTTTTATTTGCCATGTTATTCACTATTGCGCAACTTCGGCTACAAGGAATTTCTTTAAACTTGGCCAGATTGTATTTTATGTTTGTATAAATGGATACTAAAATTTTCATTAAAATAACAAAAGACCAATTTTCTGCAAAATCGAGTCACACGTGTACAAATGTTAAAAGTAGCTTGTAAATCAATAATTTCTTGCACAAAGTGCAATAGCCGATTTACCAATTTTGACTAAAACTATTGTCTTTTCACGAATGCTTTAGCTTTATGCACGGCGCCTCGTCTTGATTCCTTTGTGCATGACTAGTGAGGCGAAATTTGCAAGTCGGCTATTCGAATTTTTAACATAACTTGACCATAACTTATTGACAATGAAATTGACGTCAAAAATGCTCAAAATTTTGCAGTGAAACCACTCGCTTACGCTCGTGGTTCCACTTGAGTTTTGAGCATTTTGACGTCAATTTCATTGTCAATAAGAGTACAGACAATGGAAAACCGCTTGCGAATTGTTAATTTTACCACGCTTGTGTAAACTCCCGCGCGCTGATTGGCTGATAAGAGTGTATCAATAAGATGACATGCACACTGCGCTGACATCATCATGGCTAAATGCGCGCTCATATGATTTTTGCTAACTTTTATAAGATTTAAAATGTAAAAACAAACAACAAATTGCACACGCTACGCTGCGCTGTTTTGAACATTTTATCACTTCAAGAGTGTGTCTATAAGAGGGTCGTGCGCAACAATATAGCTTACTGCAAGTAATCTGGTAATTGGTTGCTTTAGGGATTGGTCACGTTTAACATTAATGGCTTGAAAGAAGCCAAAGTTATGAGCCGATCGTCAAATAACCGTTTTGTCATTTTGTAAATGATGACCCACCTTAACGCAATTTTGACTTGTGGTCTGCGTGTGAAATGTTAAGGCCCGTTTACACTTGCGATTTTTGCAGCGCGATTGTCGCGTCTGAGTTTTCGAACGTGCTTGAAATTTAACTGCAGCTCGCGGCGATTTTCGATCGCCGCGACAATCGCAGGGCTGTTAACACGTACGATTTGGGGTGCGCGAGAGCAAAGTGGCGATTGTCGCGCGACAATCGCGCTGCAAAAAATGCAAGTGTAAACGGGCCTTAAGGCCGTTTCACACTAGCGTTTTTTTCGTGCAACGTATGTCGCACAAAAAAATGTTCAAGTTGCACGATGCCATGTCACACTAGCAAATTTCGTTGCAACTTAGCTCGCGCAAGAAAATGTTCAAGTTGCATGCGTAAATTGAAAATGCACGATCATTTTCTTCTTCAAAATTATCGCTTTCTGTATAACTAATACCGGCGTCGGCCATCTTTGTTGATTATTGCAACAAGTGAAAGCAGAACAGATTCTCGCTTTCTTATTGGTTCGTGCGCCTAATTTAAAATTTTGGAAGTTGCAAGAGACCATGTCACACACGCGTTTTTCCGAAAAATGTTGAAAAAAGTAGAAGCCAGTTCTACAAGGGAGTCTCCTCCCTTGTCACTATATGTATATAGGTAGGGGATATTTTTTTAAACCCATTTATATTGCATTTTGACACCATGGATGATGGTCACGTCATCTTTCAAAATCAAAACATCATCACGCGACCGCGCGTTCTCGACCCAGGTCACGCTCGTCATGCAGACGTCCTCTTCGAAGTTCGCGTCTTCGATCTAAAGCAGTCTAAAAACGCTAGTGTGACACGGCCTTAAGACTTGTCCATGCGTAGATGCATGTGAATACATATGTAGGTCTTGGACAAATATTTCCTCGAGATTTGGATGACCAAATAATTTATGATATCAGGATACGAAACACTCGGATAGTGTACGATATCCTCACTACAATCGCCTTTTTTTAACGTGTAAGGGTCGAAACCACAGATCTTTACTTTTTCATGATATCTGGCTTTTGTGGGACCAGATAAAGTTGAATAATACTCTGAAAATGTGAGAGACTCTGAAGAATTTGAGGACGCGGACGCCATTTTGTCGCTTTGTTTATCCACCAGACGAATCGCTTGTGTGACGTCATGGGTTTTGACGTCACGGGTTGAAAACGAAGAATAGTCGCTTCAACCGACTAACCGGGGAAGGGGGAAGTTCATTTAATCGCGTAACTGCCGTAACTGCTCAAACAATCTACTCTGTAGGGGTCGTGAAGGGTTAAAAGTTTTCAATGTTTGATGATCGGCCATTGATATTTGTTTCGCTTGCGGGGCTCTTTCTTCTACATTGCTTCTATGACATGATTCTGAGGAACTATTGACCAAAACTGCCCCTCGTTGGAGATGGGAGGAAAGCAAAGCGTTTGTTCTGTGCGTGCGTTTCGTCAACAGCGGTCTAAACGCCGCCATTTTAAATGAAATGTCTGAGGTACACAAATGGCTACTGTACTTGCGTTTTGCGATGGTTTTAATAAGCTTATTCGCCCCTTCAAAGAGGTATATGTATAATTGTTGTGGTGCTTACAATATTGACACAAGATGGGCAAAAAGAGCTCTCTAGGCAAGGAATTTGTTTGGGATGTTCTGGGGACACGTTCGATCAAGTGGCTCCGATCAAGTCACACTATACAATATGTCAAAAGCTTGTATTAAGCTTTTAAAGAGAAAGTATGAAACACAACCGTGCAGGAAATAACGTTTTCATGGATGGGAAAATTGAAGAAGTACAGAACAAATTAATGATCTCTGGTGGGTCAAGTCTCTTGTTGTCAGGTAAGCTGGTTTTAAAATAACTTGACGCTCCTGGAGCGTGAAGTCGGACTAGCTTGTTTTGAAAATTGATCAACCAAGTGAAAAGATTATGGATGTTATATTCTGTCCAATCATATGATTATATTATGAATGTAAATTATGGTGTAGAATATATGTATTTTACTTCTAATACATAGTAAAAGCAAGAATGCATTACTTTCACTTTAATGTATTGTTCAAAACGGTTTATTCACACGATATTCTTTTTGACTGCTCTCTGCAACGACTTCAAAGCGATAGAAATCTAAGAATTTGACCTAAAAGGTCATGTAATTAATAACCTGCGAACAACTTACAAATAAATTGATAAAATCAAACATCAGACTTGAGATGTCGCTAAGTGACATATCTAATACGTTTTTAATTGAAATGGTTGACCTCTTAGGCCAAAAAAAATTAATTTAAATCTTTTATTTAAAAAGAAATATGCCTATAAAATTATCAAAGTCGCCTTTCTCTTATTGATAAACAAAGTTTCTTCTTGTTCTATTGCCCAACTATTTAACTATTTTCCCAAACAAGACTATCTAGCGTAAGCATACTACTCGTACTTCTGATGCCTTGACGATGAGATCACAAATACCGCATTTGTAAACAAATAGTTTTTTATCACATAAAAGCGCAAGTAGAATCTAACATTTACTAATGTAATAATAATAATAATAATGACTTTAATCCTCAAAATATCAAATTGATACATAGGATACAAATGTTAATGTAATGATATTCGTACATCTAAACGTTTGAGCTTCCGGGCATGTGATAACACAGGCAACCCAAAAAGCGACAAAATACATAGATAGATAGGCTAAAAGTTAAAACTTAAGTCGACCTAGCCTTCGGCTAGTCGGACTAAAATTCTCAAAAGAGACTCAAAATTTACTTCACAGCCCAGTTTAAAAAATGATGAGGAAGAATATATTATATATATGTCCCAACATCTGATACACTAGTTAGTGCTAAACAAACAGAAATTGTACAAACTAAGAGCATAAAGTGGTATTTTTCTTATGCACTTTCATTGTTTTTAGTACTCTAGTGATAGGATATGATAAGTTTTAATCTCAATATTAATTCCTTCATGTACATTGTCTTAGATTTCTAGGCTGGCATGTTTGTCACTAATGTATCAATTACACCCTGTTTTGATAGACACTACAAACAGTGCACAGCTTGACCATGGTTCACATTGTTTACAAAGAATACCCATGAATGATACACAGTGCTGAAATCAAAGTAAGTTAGAAGTTATACTGAAAAAAGGCATAAATAATAAAATGCATTTATTCAGAGATTATGTATATTAGAGTGCATTAAAGGTGTGCCCAAAAAGTAGTGCTTTTGCCTTGTCATCCAAAATAATTGAAATGTTTGCAATGTCTCACGGTTAAACTTAAAGTGGTATTTCCTGTATATTTGAGGCCTACTGAGACTAAAGTTGGTGTTTTTATTGATATTGTTTGTAATCAGGACCTCGAGTCTTAATATATGAAATGAATTTCAGGTCATTTCTTTTGTGCATGAGACCTACTGATACTTAAGATTCATTTTGATCATTTAAGATATTGAATTCTCGTTGATAATAGCATTATGTTTTTTTTCAGTTTATCTTTGTTATGGAATTCCCACAATTTCTGGACAGGAATACAAAGCTCACAAGGTTTTTTAAAGTGTTATTTTTACTAGAAGCACAGGAAGCCCAAGCCAGAACTTTGATGAGAAAATAGATGATTGTACATAAAATAAAAAGTTATAAAACAAACTATTGTATATTTCTCGACATAATTGTTTTGTATGGTCAACTTACCAGCTGAATTATTAAGATACAAATTTGTAGAGAAATATGCGTCATGAATATTTATATATATATTATACCTTGCCCTGGCTACTCATGTCATTGAGCACGTTATTTAATTTTTTGGTAAAAAAATTAAAAGTATATTATACATTTACATTGTATGTGTCGAGATATGTGTAGAATCCTCCCCTTGCCCGGCCAAACAAAAGGAAAGGATCTGGGAACACAAGTGATAAATCGGTTATGCGGGCTTGAATCATTCAAAATGGCTATACACCTTTATCATAATGGCCGCCATCTAATTAACATAAATTTTTAAAATTTAGAATTTTAGTCAAAGCAAACTAACAGCTGATAGGAACCCGTGGTAATAATAACATGTAAAAGTTTGAAATGAAAATTTTAAATTCTGGTGAAGTTATAAGGATTTAAAATATATCATAACACCAGAACGAGGCTATAAAGGCCTTGGCTGAAAATTACATACATTTCTTTGTATTTTCATTTCGCCATAACTTTGTTCGCATTTTATCCAGGGCTGTAAAACTTTCCAAAAATGTTTATTTTTGGTAGTTCATTCACATGACAGTGACAAAGTTTTCACATATTTCATATTCAGAAACAAATAGACAGACAGCCATTGGTGGAAAATTACATACATTTCTTTGTATTTTTATTTCACCGTAACTTTTTTCCTATTTTGTGCAGAGTTCTAAAACTTTCCAAAAACGTTTATTTCTGATAGTTCTTTGATGTTACAGTGACAAAATATTCATATCTATCTTATTTTGGAAAAACACAATTGCCGCCATTATGATAAAGGTGTATA